TTCGTTATTGCAGCTTAAAGTTTTTCCTCAATTCTTTCAGCTTGAGAAATGCCACGCGTGTTCTTCCCTTTTGGTTTGATTTTGAGAGCAGCATGGGAAAAACCAAAAGTTACATGCAAGGGGCAACCATAAGACTAAGCTTGGATTTTTCGACAGAAACCATGTAGGCGAGAAGACAGTGGGATGGTATATATAAAACAAAGAAAGAGAAAAATTTCCAACCAAGAATTATGTATCCAGCAAAATTGTCCCTTAAATATGATGGTGAAATCAGGATATTTCCTTATAAGCAGAAATTAAGGCAATTTGTTAAAACCAGATCAATCTTACAAGAGATACTAAAGGGAGCTCTTTGGACAGAGAAGCAACAACTGACCATTAACACACATGATGATATAACCCAGAAACCAACCCAGCTATGGAAGTGTCCAAAGTAAATGAGCCTACAAGATTGTAAACAGGGAACTAGAGACACTAACCGACAAATGAGGACAACTACAAAACAAAAAGAAGGAAAAAAATTTGTGTCGTTACAGAATTTCTAGATGGTAGGGAAGTCAAGACAACTACAAGATAGAACGGACTGTTCTAAACTTGGGAAGAAAGCTATAAATCACAGGGTAATCTCTGAGAGAAATGATAAACCTTTACATCAAAATGCAAAAGAGGACCAGCATAAATATGCAGCAAATACTAAAACAATAGCAATGAAGGAAGTGATAACATGATTCATAAACAAAATGAGCTCAGCATAGAAAATTAATTATATATTAACAAAGAAATCAACACAATGAAAAAGCACAGAATGAAAATGACAGCAACAAATTCGTATTTGCTGATAATTATATATGGCAAGGGACTTACTCTAAGATTGATGGAAAACTGCAATGGTTCCACACCAAAGGAATTAACAATCCAATTGAAAAATTGGGCAGAATACACGAATAGACACTTCACCAAGTAGGATGTTCAGGTGGTCAGCTAACACATGAAAAGATAATCAAAATCATTGCCCATCAGAGAGATGTAAATCAAAACAACAATGAGATATACCATCTCACCCCAGTACTGATGGCAAGGTTCTTTGAGATCGAAAATAACAAATGCTGGTGGGGATGTGGAGAGATTGGGACTCTCATACACTGCTTGTGTGACTGTGAAATGACACAACCACTGTGGAAAGCAATATGGTGATTCCTTAGAAAGTTGGAATTGGAGATACCATTTGACCCAGCAATTCCATTACTAGGTATATATACTAGAGACGTTAGAGCCATGATAGGAACAGTTACATGCACACTCATGTTCATCACAGCACTATTTACAATAACAAAAAGATGGAAACAACCTACGTGCCCATCAGCGGAAGAGTGGATGACCAAACTATGGTATATACACATACTAAATGCTATGCAGCACTGAAGAGTAATGTAGAGTCTGCAAAACACCACATAATATGCATGAATTTGGAGGACATTATGCTGAGTGAAATAGGTCAATCACAGAAGGAGAAATATATTACTTCATTGTTGTGGAGGGTCAAGGAAAGTTTTATATTTGGAGGGACATTGTCTTTGTTGGTTGCCAGGGGTTGGAGGGGAGGGGAAGGAACACTGCAAAAAAAAAAAAAAAACAAAAAAACCATTGATCTATGTTACTTTAGTTTTGTGTATTTCACTGTACATAAATTATATTTCAATAAAATGCACTAAATATATTTATTATTTATTAAACAAATAAATATTTGTTTCACTTCTTAAAAAAAAAGAATTTTTCTTTATGTCTTTGCCTGGCTTTGGTATTAGGGTTTTGCTTGATGCATACAATGAAGTAGGGAGTATTCCTTCAGATTATATGTTTTGAAATAGTTTGTGAAGAATTGGCATCAGCTCTTTTCTGAATGTTCGGTAGAATTTTCTAGTGAAGCTCTCTGAGCCAGGGCTTTTTTTTTTTTTTCTGGGATGTTTTAAAATAATATCTCTTAACTTCTTTTTTTAAAAATATACTTTTAATTACTTTGTTGTTTTTGAGAAGATACACACAAAACATACACCAGTTCAACAGTTTCTACATGTACTCTGATAAGGCTTTAATTATATAAAGAACAGCAACTTAGCCACAAAAATAGATAACCCAGTTGTAAAATGGCCAAATGATTTAAGAGACATTTCTCCAAAGATATAAAAAAGGCCAATGAGCACATGAAAAGATACTTAGTATCCTTAATGACTAGGGAAATGCAAGTCTTCACTACAATGAGATACTATCTGTGCCCACTTGGTTGGATATTATCAGAAAAGTAAAAACTCTTATGTGTTGGTGACGATGGAGAGTAATTGAAACCCTCTTGTGTTGTTGGTGGGAATGTAAAATGGTATGTCTGCTATGGAAAACAGTTTGCGAGTTTTCCTCAAAAAGTTAATAATTGAATTTTCATGTGTTGTTGTTGTATGTTCTTGCATGGATTCCAACTCATAAAGACCCCATATGAGAGTAAACTACCCCAAAGAAATTTCTAGGCTTTAACTGCTAACCAGAAGGCTGGCGATTTAAACCCAGCAGCCACTCCCCGGAAGGAAGATGGGGCAATCTACTTTCGTAGTGATACTGCCTTGGAAACCCAAGAAGGGGTCGCTATGAGTCGGGTCTGACTCGATGGCACATAGCAAAAACAACAACAACCTTCTGTAAGAAGGAACACTGGTGGCACAGTGGTAAAAGTGCTGTACTGCTAACCAAAAGTCAGCATTGTGAACCCATCAGCTGTTCTGCAGGAGAAAGACCTGGTGATCTGCTTATGTAACAGTTACTGCCTTATCGACAAGTTCTTTTCTGTCTTGGAGTTGTCTATGAGTTGGAATCAATGGCAGCTGTAAAAATATATATAATACAACATTTGCTAATTCAATTATTTTCACAGGTACAATTATATTAATCTTGTTGTTCAGCCGCCACCACCACCAATTAGCTTTATTTTTTTGTTGTGTTTTCGGTGAGTGTTTATTTCTAAAAGTGGATCAAAAGATAAAGGAATTTTTAATTTTGCTAGATATTTTCCTTTGATGCTGTATTATTTGCTTTCCCACCGGCAGTATATGAAAGTGTCTATAGCTCTGGTAGCATAGTACCTAAGGTATTTAACTGCTAACCAGTAGGCTCTTGGTTCAAACCCACCAGCCATTCCTAGTAAGGAAGGTTGGGCAATCTACTTCCATAGTGATACTGCCTCAGAAACCCAAGGAGGGGTCCCTATGAGTCAGATGTGACTCGATGGGAGTGAGTGTTTTTGTTTGTTTTTATGGCACTACTGTCTTGCCAACAGAGTATTGCCAAATATTTGGAATTTTTGTGTTTTCAGGTGAGAGATGGCAGCTCAGTGTTACTTCAATTTGTCTTTATTTTATTATGAGTGAAACAACATATTTTCAAATATTTAATATTCACTTGCTATGGTGTAGTAAATTACCTGGTACAGCTTTTCTAGCCATAAGTTTGTAAACTCTGTGGTGGAATTTGCCTGTGTGCAACTGAGTAGCTCCTGATTGTTAACATTATCCACCTGGGGTATTTCTGTTGCATGAAGCAATCTTCTGGGAAGTTCACTCTTTCTCAGGTGTTTAGAATTCTGATGTTGGGATTGGTTAGTCTGGCCACTCTGCCAGGCTCAAAAGGAACCTTTCTAGAGGCAGAAGGACTCTCTCACTGCTGACTGAGAGATGCACGAGACAGGCATTTTGCTGAGTGAGATGCAAGAACCATGCACTGGTGAGAGAGACCTCAAGAGACATGCATTAGTGGGAGAGACACCGAGAGACATGCACTCCTAGGAGAGACTGAGAGAGACTGTCAGCTGAGAGATGGGTGGGCTGAGAGAGACTAAGTGTGTTCCTGAACTTGAATTGTAGCATGTTGCTTCCCTAATAAACCCCTAATCTGTGAGTTCTGTGTGGCCACTGTAGCACATTATCGAACCCAATGGAGAGAGGTGGTGGATGCTGGTGGAGGAATGGTTGGTAAACGGGCTGGAGAGAGGCAGCATGTCTGGCCTTGCAGAAATAGGCCTTGGGCTACTGATGGTGATCCTGTCTTCTTGTGGGATTAGAGGAGGTCAGAAGATTGCGGCCTCCTTGCCCCTTCAGCACTTGCATTTTCAGTAAATCATCTCTTATGTATAATAAAAAAAAAAAAAGAGGAAACATAACAAATTATTCTTTTGTTTCTTCTCTTTCTTCTTTCAGCACTGATATTACAAGAATTGAATGTCCTTGGGCTGAAGCCCATATACATCTCTACTCTGCTTGCTAGCTGAAAGCCCCTCAAGAGAATTTAAATCTAGGATAGTGCCCAAATGAATATTATAAAACCTGTGTAACATCTAGTAATGTCCTGGAATCTTAAATTTTATGACTGAATTACTTTCTGAATCTAGTATTTTGTCGTGTTTAATATCTATCTGATTCCAACACAGACTCAGAATTTTAGAACTGGAAAGGAGTTTAAAGATCTTCTAATCCTAGCCCTCTTCTTTTACAGGTTAGAAAACTGCCTTTGCCTTCTTAACTTGGAGATTTATAGATGAGAACGTAAAGGACAAGTTAGATGCTTCTCTTTATAAGCAATGGGAATAATGATTCATTACTAAGAAGAGACTAGGGGTTTTAAATCACAATGCATGATTTTCAAGTCCTGGAAAGTTGGTCGTCCTTATGCCTGAAACTTAGGGAACTTTCCAGATGTTCGCTAAGCAAGACCAGATTTGAGTAAATGAACAAAATTCTTCCTAATACCTAAATTTAGTGAGAAGATTTCTAGGGATAACTAAGATAATGTGTATTGTCTACAAATAGTTTTGTATTTTATGGTGTTTGTATATCTAATCTTTAAAGTTATTTTTGTAATTGATAATTGCTAGAAGTCACTTTGCCTGTTACATACTATGAACTCATAAAACATTTTGTTCAAAGCATAAATATTCATGTACTTTTTTCTTTTTTTCTTAGGAGTTCATGTACAACACAATTAGAACTTCTGGAAACTGTATACAGAATGTTTGGGAGGGATGACCTACTTTCAAATACCACACGCCAGGCATTTGTAGATCGCTCTCTCCTCACTCTGCTGTGGCACTGTACTCTGAATGCTTTGAGAGAATTTTTTAGCAAAATTGTGGTGGATGCCATTGATGTGTTGAAGTCCAGATTTATAAAGGTATCCAATCTTTATTATTAAATAATAATTGAAAAATTTCCTTGGCTAACATTATTAGAGATTGCTGCATATTCATCTGTACTGATCAAGGAGTATTACCTCTAAATTTTTATAACTATAAGCTACATGGGATCTGTATTACTTCTTGAAATGGCTTTAAAACATCACCACAACGTTGGTGCCCTAAAACAAATTTATTTTCTCACAGTCTTGGAGGCCAGAAGTCAGAGAATCGTTTCACTCTGCCAAAGTCGTGGTGTTGCTAGGACCACACTTGCTTCAGAAATTCTCATAGAGAATTAATTCCTTGCCTTTTTGAACTTAAGGTGGCTGACAGCATTCCTTGGCTTGTGGTTGCATCAATCCAGTTTTGGCCTCTACTATCACAGTGTCTACTCCTTTTGTGTCTAATATCTGTCTCTTTCTCTTATAAGGTGACATGTGGCTACAATCCCCCTATCTCAAGATCCTTAATCAAATATATAAAGTTTTTTTTTGTGCCATATAAGGCAATAGTCACAGGTTCCAGGTTTTAGGACATGGACATCTTTTCAACCTGTCACAAAAACCTTTGGGAAAGAACATATTAGTCAAATGACACATCTGTTAATGTAGACCACAAAATAGTTGACAGTGTTGTTTTCTAATATGTTAATTTTTATCCGCTGATGCTGTTATTTTAATAAGATTTTGTACAAAAGGTCTTATATGCATACCTTTGGTTTAGGCTCACTATTTGAACATTGTACGCTATTTCCTGCTGCTCACTTACCCAGTTTAGCCCATCAAGGCTTCTGTCCACCTTTGACCCTGGATAATTGCCTATTTCCTGTTGAACTGATTTTATATCTTTTGATTGTTAAAATTATTTTATTTCTAAAAGGCATTAAATATTAAATTTGAAATATTTCACAAAATATTTGTCTTGTTTTATAAGGTGAAATAATTATTTGTGACTTTTTTTAGCTAAATGAATCTACTTTTGATACTCAAATCACCAAGAAGATGGGCTATTTTAAGATGCTAGATATGATGTATTCTCGTCTTCCAAGAGATGATGTTCACTCTAAGGAGTCAAAAATCAATCAAGTTTTCCATGGCTCTTGTAATACAGAAGGAAATGAACTTACAAAGACACTTATTAAGTAAGATTTTACTTATTTTTTTTTTCAGGGTAGAAGAGTATCTTTAATATTAAACAGCTATCATAGGATATTCCAAAGTGTAAAAACAAATTGAAAGAAACTATTTCCAAACAAGAATATGAGGTAGAAAGAAAAAAACAGCCCTAAAGTAAAAATGGAGATGGTCAGTAAACAAATGAAAAGACAACCACATTAGCAGTCTGGGATGCAAATACCAAAAACAGTATAGGTGATAGTCATTGCTTTTCAAGCCACTTTGTTATTAGCTACAGGGTCATGTCAGGGATTAGTTTGGGTTCAAGGTTTAAGAGTATCTCAGGGCAGTAGTCTCAGGTCTCAGAGTTCTCCAGTCTCAATCAGTCCAGCAGGTCTGTTTTTTTGTTTTTTTTAGGACTCTGAAGTTCTGTTCCACATTCTTCTCCCATTCTATCAGGGTCCATCTATTGTGGCCCTTATTAGAACAGTCAGTAGTGGTGTGCAGGCACTATCTAGTTCTTCTGGTCTTAGGGTAGATGCCATAGTTCATGCAGACTGGTTATCTTGTAGACTAGTTTTTCCAATAGTTTTTATCTTAGATGGCTGCCTGCAAACTTTTAAGACCCCAGACAACACTACTCACCAAACTAGGATGTAGAATATAACTTTATGAACTATATTATGCCAGAAGACTGACTGAAATGTCCCGTGAGAGTATGGTCCTAATCCTTCAAACCCAGAAATTCAATCCCACAAGGTGTCTATGTCTAAGAAATATACTCGCCTTTTTGAAAAACATTTTGCTGAGTATAAGATTCTGCGATCATGGTTATTTTCATTCAGCTCATTGATGATATCATTACCATCTTGGCTTCAATCACTGCTATTGATGAGTTAACCCCTTTGTCGTATTGGGTTTACTTTAATGTATCTTTTTTATCCGGGTGCTTTTGAATTCTTTCTGCCTTGAGTTTTGTACTTTCCTGTTAATGCATCTATCATTTATTTTGATAGATTCTGAGATTCGCTGGGCTTCTATGTAATGATATTTTGCATAGTCTTATAATATTCTCAACCATTTGTTCCTCATCAGATAAGGCTTCTAATGCAGAGACTACACACATTTGCATGTGTGTGTGTGTACAAGTGTGTGAATTCCAACTAGAAAAATGTTAGAATTTCTCATTCTATCTTCCATCTCTCTTAACTTTTCACATTTTCTATCTTTTGTTTTTTTTCCTCTCTGTGCTGCATTCTGGACAAATTTTTCTACCCCACCACAAACTTGACTACATATCTCTTCGGCATTTCCAATGTACTAAGTAAAGCTTTCCACTGACTTTTTCATTTTTGTTGCATTTTTCATTCTAAGAAGCTTTATTTGTTTTTCTAGTCTGTGTAGTCACTTTCATGGTCTCTTGGCCTTTACTCCTACTTCCTGTGCTTTCTTTTAATCTTTAAATATACTATAGCTACTTAGCTGATATTCTCTGTCTGGTAATTCTTATATCTGAAATCCATGAGAGGTCTAATTTTGTTATCCACTCTTTCCACTGGCTTCTCTTCATGGTTTTCCCTTGCTTCTTCAGTAAATTTTGATCATGTAGCAAATTTCTTGGAACTTTATCTGTAAGAATTATCTGAAGTCTGTGTAAAGCTAAGGCGTTCTGGTAGTGTAGTGGTTAAGCATTTGGCTGCTAATAAGAAGGTTGGCAGTTTGAACGTACTAGCCACTCAATGGAAGAAAGATGAGGCAGTCTGCTTCTGTAAAGATTTATAGCCTTGGAAATCCACTGGTGGTTACTGAGTTGCAATCGATTGAGTGGCAGTGAGTTTAATTTTGGTCTTGGTGTTAATTGTAGACTCTTCCAGAGAAGATTTATGTTTATTTCTTCTAGACAGTTGGGGGCTCTAAACTAAATGCTTGACTTAAAACTTCTTGGATCAACCAAGAAGTATGAATTCAAGCAACAAAGCCACATGAGGGTCACTGTGAATTCTCAAAGCGCAACCACATTGTCTGTCATCTTTCAGCATGAGAGCTTGACACCATTCTCATTGCAGTCACCTGAGAGTGAGCTTACTGTCGGTTCACCCTTACATAGAATGTTGCCCTTTGAAGTTTCAGCTTTATGAGGTTGGGGTAGGAGGCTTCGTAGACTCCCCATCTTAGGCTCTGAGTTTTGTCTTCTATTTTCCCAGTCCCTTGAGGCCATAAACAATGCTGAGCAAATAACCTCAAAGCTGGTTTCAGAACTCTGCTTCTCTCTTAAGAGTTTTCTCTTTCACTTAATTTTGGGCTCCAAGTATTCTTTACTAATGTACATTTTAAAATGTTGTATGTACTATTATGGTGTTTTCCTCCAGCATTTTTTGTTGTATTCATCATGAGACTCAGTCAGGCCTCTAGTTATCCACTGTCAAATGAGAGCTGCAGAATCTATTTCAGTGACACCTCCTCTACCATAGTGACTGCCACCCTCAACTCTGTGCTGTGCGGTACCCCAGGCTGTACTGGACCTTGCTGGAAGCTGCCACTGCTGTGTTGATATAGATGTATCAGATTTACTTCAATAGATTATATTTGATTTGTTAATATATTTTTTTAAAGAAGCCTTTTTTTTTTTTTTTTTTTTTAATGTTACTAATATTGTTAGTTCCCAAGATCTTTGTAATAAGCTACTGAGTTGATTGTATACCTTTGGTCCAAAATACGAGAAGCCATACCAAAAAGATTTGACTCAAATTCTTTTCTTCATTAGACAGGCGCAGGGAAAATATTTTCTTTTTCTGATGATACTTACTTTATGTATCTCATAAAAGTCATAGATATTGCAAATGCTTAACCCAAGTCAGGATCCAAAGTTACCAATATCTTCTGCAGCTGGACTCATGGAAATGCCGCCCCCCCCCCAAAGATTACAGTTAACATGCTAATTCTGGAGAAAAGCTCTTGAAATTAAAACATCAAAGAAAAGGCTCTTTGCAAAGGGGTTTACAGTAGATTCTGAGTCTTAGCCGAGCTAGAGATAAGCTGGCTACACTTGTAGAAGGCTGGGAAGAGGATCCTCTCACCATTGGCCTTCCTTTAAGCTGCTTCATCTTCAGGGATCATCCAGTTGGAACAGTTTGTTAGAACAATAGTATTAAGCCACTGGCAATATCATAACTCATTTGCATTTGCCTCCAGATTAGCCTCTATTTAACCCAGAGCTTCTACTCTTGACTACTGTAGAGCAAGGACTTTGATATTAGCAAGACCTGGATTTGAGTCCTGAGTAACCAAACCAGGCAATTGTCCTAGGTATTTTTGTTAGTTCATAAATTTTTTTTTTTTTTTTTTTATGATCAACATTAAGCAAGAAATCCATAGCTAGCATCTCAGTCAATCTTGATTTCAGTTTCTTCCCCCTTCCTGCATCTGATTAGTTTCTAGGGTTTTAGTTTGCTTTATTTGTTGTTGTTGTTGTTATGTGCCGTCGAGTCGGCCCTAACTCATAGCGACCCCTCCTTGGGTTTCCGAGGCAGTATCACTATGGAAGTAGGATTGCCCAACCTTCCTTCCGAGGAGTGGCTGGTGGGTTTGAACCGCCAGCCGTCTGGTTAGCAGGCAAGTGTCTTAGCCACTATGCTATCAGAGCTCCCAGTTTGCTTTATAGCATCTCTTAAATCTGCCCTTTTTTTCTCTTTCAACTGACTTAGCATGCCCTTCACTCTTAGGCAGATGTCATAATTTCCTAATTGGGTCACACTGCTTCCTCTTTCTCTTTTCAGAAATAATATTTTCTTGTGTTTTAGGTGAAAGTTTACACAGAAAATTAGATTCACATTTAACAATTTTTGTACAGATTATCTCATGCCATTGGTTACAGTTTTTGCAGTGTGTCAACATTCTCATTATTTCCATTCTGTTTCTTCTCTTTTCATTGATTTAGCTTTCTTTCCCCTCCTTGCCATCTCATCTTGGCTTTTGAGTAAATGTTGACCATTTGGGATCATATAATTAATTGTTTAAGAGAGCAATTAATCATGGGTGATATTATTTATTTTATAAGTCAATCAGTTATTTGGCTGAATGATTAATATTTTTGATGAACATAATTTTATCTTTATATAATGTGAATAAATGTTTTATTTGAATACTGAACTTCTATAGTTTTTTTCCTTTTTTATATTGTAAAAATATGTAACAAAATATTTGACGTTTCAGCCATTTTTATGCAGGTAATCCAGACATTAATTGTGTTCACCATAATTTGCAACCATTGCTGCTATCTGTTTCCAATTTTTTCATCACCTTTAACAGAAACACGATATCCTTTAAGCAGTAACTTCTGCTTTTTCCTTCCCACCTGCCCTTGTTGTTGTTTGTTGTTGCCCTTAGTAACCACTAATAAACTATTGTCTATATATAATAGCCTATTTTAGATATTTCATATAAATGGGAGCATATACTATTTGTCTTTTTATGGCTGACTTCTTTCACTCCACACATTTCCAAGGTTCATCCATGTTGTAGCATGTATCAGAATTTCATTTTTCTTTAGGTCTGGGTGGTATTCTATTGTTTGGGTATATAGCACATCTGTTTGTGGGTACTTGTTTCCACCTTTGGCTAGTGTGAATGTTGTTTGTTGTTGTTAAGTACCGTAGAGTCGGACCCGACTCATAGTGAACCCCTCCTTGGGTTTCTGAGGCAGTATCACTATGGAAGTAGATTGCCCAACCTTCCTTCCAAGGAGTGGCTGGTGAGTTTGAACCACCAGCCTTGTGGTTAGCAGTCAAGTGCGTTAGGCACTGTGCTACCAGAGCTCCCTAGTGTGAATAGTGCTACAATTATAGCACTTCTTGCTTAGAAACTACTAAAATGGACTTCAATTAGCCTATCATTGAGCATCATATGTTTTATACCAACTCATATTTTTATAATGACTAAAACTTTTTCTTTTGCTGCTGCTTTTTCTTTTTTAAACCAGTTTTTACCCTGAATAGCTCAATGTATTTTTAGTTATATGATTTACAGTTGCTGTTGTCGTTATGTGCCGTTGAGTCAACCCAAACGACTCACAGCCACCTCTCCTTGGATTTCCAAGGTGGTATCACTATGGAAGTAGATTGCCCAACCTTCCTTCCGAGGAGTGGCTGGTGGGTTTGAACTGCCAGCCTTCTGGTTAGTAGTCAAGTGCCTTAGACACTATGCTACCAGAGCTCCTGATGATTTACAGTAAGAGGAGATTTAATGTATTTTATTTTTTACTTCAATTTGAAATAAAAGGAGTATTGAGTTTTAATGGGCATTCCATAGAACACAAAGTAATTTAATTATTTTCTCTAAAACTAGCTCTCTAATGAAATTTTCCTCCTAGTAGATATTAGACAAAGACATTATTATTACCATGTCTCATTTTGCATATCCAAACAAATATCATTCACTTCTTCCCCTCATCCTTATTTTACTATCTCAGTGCATTGTGTCCCCCCCCCCCTTATTTTCATAAACAAGAGGCCTCAGAGTCTTACTTTATTCTTCCTTCAGCCTTATCTTTCTAGGCTTTGTACATGTCCCATCAGTCTCCACATCTGGCCGGTGTCATCTCTGCATTTCTTGATTGCCTCTAGCATGCTTACTCCATATACACAGCCTCCTTGCAGCCTCTGTGATCTCTGGTAAACCATGGTAGTACCCTCCATCATAGCTGTCCTCCTTGTTCTGTAGCCCCCTTGCTTTGTCCTCATTGCTGTGAAAAGTATCAAATGCCTATAATGCAAACCTGACTGTCTTAATCTTGCTGCTGAACATCCTTCTCTGACACTTTGTCTTCTAGCACTAGGAGGTGGCAAACTGTTTATAAAGGGAAATGGGGGTGGCTGTCTTCCTTTCCTCAGGATTAAATCCAAGAGTCTTCCAAGGACTCACCTCTCTTCTTTTCCTCACTGCCTAATGGGATGTGCTTGCCATTGTGCACCTGGTAGTTAACACCCTCGCACTCCAGTTTCTGGTACTGCTTTGTTACTGCGACACTCTTCTCTCTGCTTATAATGTCCTCATACCATGTTTCCTTTTACTGATTTACAACACAAGATTTAGCTCTGATGTTTTCTCCTGAAATCTTCCTCTTCTTGGCTCCTTAGATCAGGCTACTGCCCTTCCTTTTTGTATCAACTTACTTGTTACTGTTCCTGCACTTCACCTCATGATCACTGCCTTTGCCACAACAAGGTGAATAGACATGGTAGTGGGCTCACCTACATTCCCAGTACCCATTATTCAGTGTGTGGCACAGATCTGACTCTCAGTTTGTGTGGTCAGGATGAGATTCTCTTCTCTGGGGGTGTTAGGCTTAAACAGTGGGTTCCACATTATGTAAATTAATTTTTATCCTGAATCTGCTTTGCAGATTGTGCTATGATGCATTTACAGAGAACATGGCAGGGGAGAATCAGTTACTGGAAAGAAGAAGGCTTTATCATTGTGCTGCATACAATTGTGCCATTTCTGTTATTTGCTGTGTCTTCAGTGAATTAAAATTCTACCAAGGTTTTCTGTTCAGTGAAAAACCAGAAAAGGTAGGCCTCTCCTAAGTTGTTCACTATTGCTGTCACTGTAGGATTTGAGAAATTGGTATAGATTATACCAATTAAAGTTATGTTATATATAGATGGATATTTTTGTGTACCATCAAGTCAATTCCAACTCATAATGACTGACCAGCCACTCCTCAGAAGAAAGATTGTACAATCTACTTCTGTAGAGATACTGCCTTGGAAACTCAAGGAGGGGTCGCTATGAGTCAAGTCAACTCGATGGCAGTGAGTTTTTTAGTTTTTAATCACCATATAGGACAGAGTAGAACTGCCCCATAGGGTTTCCCAGGCTTTAATCTTTATGGAAGTAAATTGCCAGATCTTTTGCTTACAGGGTGGCTGTTGGGTTCAAACCACCAACATTTCACTTAGCAGCCAAGTGCTTAACCATTGTGCCACCAGGGCTCCAAATATATACATACATATACATATACATATACATATATATATATATACAAACCTGGGAGCTCCCGTAGCATAGTGCCTAGGGCACCTGACTGCTAACCAGAAGGCTGACAGGTTAAACCCACCAGCCACTCTTCAGAAGGAAGATGGGGCAATCTACTTCCGTAGCGATAATGCCTTGGAAACCCAAGGAGGGGTCGCTATGAGTCGGGTCTGACTTGACGGCATATTACAACAACAATATATAAAGCTGAAGTGCTTCTCTGTTACTAAGTAGCAATAATTCTATAGTAGCATCAATATTAAGTTTGCTCCCACTGAGATATTTTTATATGATTCTTTATATTCACAGAACTTGCTTATTTTTGAAAATCTGATAGACCTGAATCACTGCTATACATTTCCTGTAGAAGTTGAGGTGAGTGAAAATTTTCCATGGTTCCTTAACTAAAAATATTTATCACGTCATTGTAGAATGAAGCATACATTATATTGAACATATTAAATTGCTACTATTTAAGTCTCCTTTGAACTACAGAACTTGACAGTTTCATTAGTTAGCTCTTAGGTAAAATCTCGGATAGCTACAACCACATTCCTTAGAACCTGATGTTTCCCACTCTTGACCTTTACAAGAAAACAAATCCCAAATAAAAGAATATTTGAGACTTGTCCTAGAAGTTGTTTCTGATTAAATTCCCCCAGTCCAATATGTTGAGTCCCTCCTGTTACAGACCCTGGCTTGGGCCCTGATGGTAACTCAGAGATAGCAGTGTACTGTGAACAGAAAGAACAGAATGGGTAGAGGAGTTGCTATGGCACACATAATGAATTTGACTTGCCATCTTCAGCTTTTGGTGAGGAATTGGTCTGATGAAAATAGGTGGAAGTTTGGTCAGAAGCCAGTGCTCCTGCCCACAGTCTGGCCAACCTGGAGCTCAGCTCTTCTCTCTCTACATTTATGTAGGGCTACTGCCCTAAACCACACTTCAGTGGTTCATAGTATTTCCTGCTTTAATCCCTTTTGGAACACGACTAAGAATTTTTTTCTAAGCTTATGTTCAAAGAACTAAAAAACAAAAAAATAATGACACTAATTTACTTAGCATACAGGCACTTGGTGTATGTTAATTATAAATCTTACCACAACTCTGTGAGGTGGTATGATATACCACAACTTTACATTGAGGAAACTGAGGCTCAAAGGTCTAGCACAGATACTGGACTAGGTGTGGGCACACCATGTAGTCATTGTTGGTTCCAGAGCCAGAAGAGGTGTGTGCTTCCTCAGGCCTCTGTGGGTCTCTGGGGACATGTTTGTAAGGACCACTCACATGTGTTTTTTGTGCATATTGTTGAAACCTTTTAAATTTGGTAAAAGTTGTATTTAAAAATTATTTTCCTTTTGCCAGATTGTTACTAAAACAAAAAAATATGACTCTGATTTTTAAAAGGTTTTTATTGTGCATATGTTTTGCCTAATAGGTCCCTATGGAAAGGAAGAAAAAGTACATTGAAATTAGGAAAGAAGCCAGGGAAGCAGCAAATGGGGACTCAGGTAAGACATTTTCAAAATGTCGAGCAAGGTTCTAATGGTTTATATTTTTTTATGTAAGTAGAAAGCATGTTAAATAACCCAAGACATTAAATTGAGCTTGAACACAGTTTCATTTTTAAATGGTAATCGGAATTATATCTTCAAACAAATGTGATTAGTTAAACTTAACTGCCTAAGAAGATCTCAAAGCAGGATATGAGGTGGGCAGATGGCTCAGATATGTTACACTTTTTTAAAAAATGCAAGCCATTCAAGAGAAAGATTAGCTTGACAGCTGTTTGTTTGCATATGGATTATGTTTGTATACTATTTAGATATACTCAGAAATCTGGGTTAAAATAGAAATCTTAATCATGGTTTCTGCCTCCCTCGGCACAAAGCTGCCAGGCCCTCCTCATTGGCTGACTGCTTTTCTGGCCTCCTGTCCTTATTACTCTCTTGCTCACTCCTCTCCAGCTCCTTTGGCCCTGGCTGATCCTTGACCCAGACCTGCTTTTGCCCCATTGCATTTGTGTTTGTTGTTCCCTCTGCCTATAATAATCTTAGTCCCAGATATTAGCGAGACTCATGACATTTATTTAATGTCAAACTCTCCAAGAGGCTCTCCTTGACCACCCTGTTTTCCATTTGTTTCAGTTTTTTGCTTAAGTTGTCTTTATGGTTTTATCATCAATTCTTAATTAAAAAAAAAAAAAAACACCTCACTACCGTCAAGTCAGTTTCAACCCCTCCTTGCGTTTCTAAGGCGGTATCTCTACAGAAGTAGATTGCCCAGTCTTAGACCAGTGTTCTACATCCCTAACGTCTTTTGCATTAGCTGTTTCTTAATAGGATTTCTTTCCACATATATGTTAGAATTTATGGTCAAAATATTGCCTACCATTAGAATTTTAAATGAAGAGAAATTCTGTCATAAAAGTTACAAATATTGGACCTAGTTTAACTTAATGTCTTTGTCCATGACAGTAGAGGATAATCCTTGATGATGACAAAAGCAAAGGGAGATCTTTCTCCTGTTTTCTTTATGCTTTGTTGGCCTGGATAATGGCTCGAAAATTACAGGATTGATGTTAAAAGTATTCTTAGTTTAAATAAAATTTGAATGTAGAGACATATATTTCTTAGTAATTATGGTTTGAAAAAACTCTTTTCCTTTTTCTTTGTATTTCAGGTGGTCCTCGTTACATATCTTCTTTGTCGTATTTGTCAGACAGTAGCCTCAGTGAGGAAATGAGCCAATTTGATTTTTCAACTGGAGTTCAGAGTTATTCATACAGTACCCAAGACCTCAAAGCTACTGGTCATTTTCGGAGACAGGTGATTACATTTCACAAGTTAAAGGAATATTTCACATTGCTGAAGTTCGTTTAATTAAAAAAAAAAAGAGTCACAGCTATGCCTTATTGTTATAAGGGGAAGCCAATTCTTGGTCTAATGGCAGTTCGCAAAGAGTAGTGTTAATTTGGAATATTTGCCAAGATCTAAAATCTGCCTTTAGTCATGTAGAATCAGAAACTTGATTTTATCAGCACAGGAAGGAAGTGTCTCTCAACAGGACAGATTCTCAGCTAGTCTTCCTGAGATTAGTGTTTTAAATCAGAATGCCATTTAAGGATTTCTAGCAAGAATATATCTCCTATGGAAACCTAAATGCTTGTGCTGGTTAACTGTTGCACTCCGGGAGAGAATGAAGAAATTGCAAAGACTGTGTAATGTCATAAACTCAGATACCTGAGTATAGCCACATTTACACATGACAGCCAAACTATTTCTTTGTGTTGAGGCATAGTTCGTTCCATCAAAGACGGAGATGATTATTTTAGAAACAGAATTTAGTCTTTTTTTCTCTTTCGGTCCCAGACACTTCGCATAGTCACTTTCACATTCTCATTCACCATGTTTTACCTGTCTCTCACACTTATTTTTAGCTTTGATTAATCTCTTTCTTTAAAATAGAAGACTTGACATCTGTTTATTTTCTCTCTAACTGTCTGTCTGTCTGTATAACTCTTGTTCTCTCTACCAGATTTTCAGTCTTTGTGCTTTCTTTAGTCCTTTTTCATCATATATGGCATGTCTATCAGGTCCCCAAAAGAAATACCTACTCAGACATTCCTTTAGAGCATGCCAATCTTCCTTGAAATAAACTGCTCTGGTACTGTAGGTGGGACTAGGTCACCTATGTGTGCTCTTTCTCCACTATTCTTTTTTTTTTTTTTTTAATTGTAATTTGGGTGAAAGTTTACAGAGCAAATTTACTTTCCATACAGCAGCTCATATACACTTTGTCTCATGACATTGATACAATTTACCACAGTGCAATAGCTCTGCCCCCAGTTCTTCCCCAGAAGAACTTTCTCCTTGTGTCCTTCCCTCCATGAACTCCTGCCCCCTGAGCTATGTCCCTGTGTATACACAGCCCTTCTATTCTCCCATGATTATTCTCTCCAAGGAGTGTAGCTGCCTAGTGTAAGTGTTCACCTCATATGCCTGTTTTTTGTTTGGCTGGAAGCCATAGGAGTGGGTTCAGTTCCAGACCTGAATGGCAACTAGGAGCCATAATTTCAGTGGTTCTGTTCCATCAGGCTCTATTAGACTAGCAAACCTGGTCCTTGTTTTTCTTTTTTTTTTATGATTTTGAGTTTTGTTCCACATTGTTCTCCCACTTTATCCAGGATCTCCTACATAGATTACCCTCTGAGTGTTGACATTCATAGCCAGGTACCATCTGGTTCTTCTGGTCTCATAGTTGTACAGGCTGAGGATTACATGGTATACCAATTGTTTAGATTCACTGTTTCCATGAGTCTCTGGTTTTCTTCATTCTTCTTTGCTTTGGACAAGGAGAGTCCCATTGTTGCAACTAGATGACCACCTGCAAGTTTTTAAGATCCCAGTCGCTACTCACCAATATAGGATGTGGAACAATGTTTTTGTGTAGTATGTTATGCCAGTTGAGCTCGATGTCCCGGGTGACTATGGTCCCAAGCCCACATGTCCAAATACTCATTCCCTCTGGGTAGCTGGCTGTGGCCAAGAAGTGACTACAAGCTTGTCCCTTGTCAGCTGTACTATATACCTAGGAATTCATATAGAACATAGCAAAACACTTTTAGCAACATATCTGCCAACCCTATCCATGGTCTTGGGCAAGCTCCCCCTTGCATAGACATACCTAATAGTTGAGCCTGTCTATCCAAATATCCATGTTTGCCTTCACACACAGTGCAGTACTGTATGTGCAGAAGGGTTCCTCTTTGTTGTCTATACCTTCCATGTACCTCTCTATGTCTTGCTCTTGCTCAGTGCCACTGTGTTGATCACTTACATTTTGTACGTTGCCCTTCTCTTCACCCAAATCAATACTTGTCTCTACCTGTCTAACAGTGTTAGCCCCCTTCCCATCCCCTCCAACCCCTGGTAACCAACAAAGAAAATTTCCTTTCATATAGAACCTTTTCCTTGACTTTTTTTTGTCTGTTTGTTTTTTGTTTTTAAACCATCTATTTATTTATTTATTTTACTTTGTGTGTGTGTGTGTGTGTGTGCGAGAGAGAGAGAGAGAGAGATTTGGTTGAAAGTTTACAGAACAAATTCACTTTAGCAGTTCACACACATGTTGTCTCATGACATTGACTACAATTTACCACACACAACAGCTCCCCTGAAACTTCCTCCTGATAGTAACCTCTTCCCTGTGTCCATCCTTCCATGCACTCCTGCCCCCTGAACTATCTCCCTGTGCATATGTTGTTGTTGTTATGTGCCGTCGAGTCGGCCCCAACTCATAGCGACCCCTCCTTGGGTTTCCAAGGCAGTGTCACTACAGAATTAGGATTGCCCAACTTTCCTTCCGAGGAGTGGCTGATGGGTTTGAAC